CAAAAAAATGAGTTCTGTGTCACCTCTGACACGTGTGTCACCTCTAACACACGTGCCAGGTTCGCCATCACTGCTCTAAGCAAAGAGCAGTTTTCTACCTATAACATGCTTTGCAGTTGCCCAAATAAACCTCATCTAGCCAGTTTTGAACAATAAAAAATTCTCTTTGAGAGAAGGTCCTGCTGAGTGTTTGGTTCTTGGTGGTGTAAACCGTCCTTGGCTCTCATCCTTTCCCTCGCTAACCACGTCCCCCTCCCAAGTGAGAGCACAGAGGGAAGGGGGAGGTGAGCCTCATTTTCCTGGCTCTCGGCCTGGTCCCCATGCTGCACTCCGCCCAGGGCGGGTGGGGACAAGCTGAGCAGGGCCTGGCACTGCTCCTCACTCTCTCTAAGGAAGGCGTTTGAGGAATTGGCCAAGAGACCGAGTGAAGACAGAGTATTTCCTAGAAGAGACTTTTAGGTAAATCGATTGACTATTCATTTTCATTTTTGTAACGGACTGGAATGGCAGGTTTTTTTTAAAAAAAACTGGTTACTTGGTATTTTGGTTCCATATGCAGTTGATTACTTTGATTTATATTAAGGTGTACCACTGTTTTACTCTGGTAACAACACTTTATTTGGGGCTGGGAATAACTTCTTTGTTAGCACTGTCAGTGATAAAGATACTATTATGCTAGTGTTTGTACTTGGTAGAAACTTTTATAATGGCGTTTTCTCCCTGCAGGATTCATTACGTTGCAAAGAGCAGTAAAGGTACATAATGTCTCTCTTCCTCTCACACAGATAGAGCTCATTGACAGAGTCGATGACATCTACCGGAACACTTCCTGGGACAACGCAGGCTTTAAAGGTTATGGAATACAGATAGAACAGGTACTTATCAATGCACTGGCTCACATACTCAGCTAAGTTCTGTGATGTAAATATTTGTCACTTCAGATGTAATCATAAATAAATAAATGCCATAATTTTTATTAAATTATAGTGTTTTTTATATTAATTACTTATAGATTATGAAGTTTTCTGTTCTTAAGCTTGTTTTAGGCAAAAAGCCTTTTTTGCTGCTCTGATCTCTCCCTTCTCTGAATTCAGGGCCTTTCTATCCCCTGCCCTGTTTTCCTTGCCTGTGGTCATGCTTTGTCTTCAGTTAGAATCCTGGCACGTAGTGTTGAGTCTGTAGTCAGAAAAGTTGCTCAGAATTACTGTGTACATTGCAAGGCATTTATGCGTACAGACCCATTAGAACTTTCTCCCAAACCTCCTGATTTCTTATATCTCGTTAATAGAATATATCCAGCCCAGCTGGTGTGGCTCAGTGGTTGAGCATCATCCTACGCACCAAGAGGTGATGGGTTCGATCCCCAGTTAGGTTACATGTCCAAGTTGTGGGCTCAATCCCCATAGGGGTGTGCAGTGTTTCTATCTCTCTCTTCCCCTCTCCCAAACCCCCCCCCCCCAAATAAATAAATAAATAAATATATTTATTAAATATATTTTATTGATTTTTTACAGAGAGGAAGGGAGAGGGATAGAGAGCTAGAAACATCGATGAGAGAGAAACATCGATCAGCTGCCTCCTGCACACCTCCTACTGGGGATGTGCCCGCAACCATGGTACATGCCCTTTACCGGAATCGAACCTGGGACCTTTCAGTCCGCAGGCCGACGCTCTATCCACTGAGCCAAACCAGTTATGGCAAAAATACATTTTAAAAAATAGAGTGTGTGTCCAGCCACAGTGTATTAATGTCATCTTAGTATCTCATAGTAAAAATTGTTCCAAATTGATAAGACTACTTAAAAAGACTGTTCTGAAATTGGGTATTGCTCTGGACACTTTGATATGGAAATTATTGTTTGTATTTTTTCCTAGGCTTTGTTCTGAATTAACCATATTCTTTATAGGCTCTGTAGCTAGAATTTAGAGAGTAAAACAAAAACAACTTTGAAATTGTACATCATTCTTATAAATGTTAAACTTTTATAGTACTTGCATAAAACTAAGAGAATTATTTTTCCCTTTTCCCATTCTTTTACTTGCATTTTCTTTTTTTAAGTTACTATTTGAATAGGTAACATATACATATGGTACAAAAGCCAGTGAAAAGTAAGTCTCCGCAATCTCCGCTCATTGTCAAACCAGTTTCTTTCCCCAGAGACACCCATGTCACTAGATTCATGTGTATTTTTCCAGAGACCTTTCTGCATGTATAGCATGTGTGTGTTTGTGTATTTGACACAGTGGTGGTATGTGTACTCCCTGGATCATGCTTTTCCATTTCATGAATATGTTGGTGACTACCTCACTGTTGTTCAAATAAAGCTGCCTCACTTGTTTAAAACAGCTGCGACTTGATTGGGTTTTAGGGGATCAGTAAAGAAAGCTTTTTTTTTTTTGCTTTAGAACTTGGAACCAGTTGAAAAAATAGATGTGATCTAGGGGCTAAAAATATCAGCTGCTTTAATGATAACAAGCGGGTTGGAAGATACGGCTTAGATGAACTGCCACAGGAGGCTTCCTGTTCCATCCCAGAATTAGTCTTGACCACCCACCCCCAGAGCTGCAAAGCGCACCCAGTGGGCTTTCCACGTGTGGCAAAGCAGAGCCGATTATGCCCTCCACAGGCAGGCAGCGCCAGAGACCTCGGGAGCGACCTGCCGAGCATGGCTGTTCCTTGCTGCAGGATTAATAGTATTTGTGCTACATGTCCAAGGAACAGCCCCTGTTCTTTATACCCCTTTACTCCTGTGGCTTACAGTGACGTACATCCTAGTCTGCATCTCTGCATCATTGACTAGAGTTGAACTAAATATTTTAGACCAGTGGAACTGAAGTTCTCATTGTTTGAACTAAATATAGAAAAAATGAAAATTTGGGAGTACATTTGTAAATTTATAAATCATTCATTGACAAATTCTCCATTATCATCTGCTTCTCACTTTGTTTTTATTTTTATTTTATTTTATTTTTTTTAATATATTTTATTGATTTTTTACAGAGAGGAAGGGAGAGAGATAGAAAGTTAGAAACATCGATGAGAGAGAGACATCGATCAGCTGCCTCCTGCACATCCCCTACTGGGGATGTGCCCGCAACCCAGGTACATGCCCTTCACCGGAATCGAACCTGGGACCTTTCAGTCCGCAGGCCGACGCTCTATCCACTGAGCCAAACCGGTTTCGGCCTCACTTTGTTTTTAAACATTAATTATTTAGGGCTGAAGAATTTTATGTAATTCTGGTTCCAAAACATATTTTTTCTAGAATCGGCTTTTATTGAATATCTGAAACAATGCAGTATTTAGTTTGTGACTTTTTCTGAAGTGTTCTAAGTATATTCTCTCTTTAAGTATAGATTCGCATTTTCAAGACTCCAGAGGATGTAAAACCTGGTCAGAGGCACTATAATATGGCAAAAAGTTATCCAAATGAAGAAAAGGATGCCTGGGATGTGAAGATGCTGCTGGAGGTAGGTGCGGAGCCCCGGACGTGGCGCTGTTGCTACCACTTGTGGTTTCTGCCGGGGCGGAGTACGGGGGGAGGGGTATGTCTACTGACGAAGGGACATGTTAGAAAAGGGGCTGGGGAACCGGAGCAGCCCAGACAGCTGGTCAGCAGTCACCTGTAGGCCGACGCTCTACCAGCAGCCAGCAGGGCAAAATGCTGTGCCCACAACCTCAGTGTATTGGGATGACACGCTCACCACCTAGCTACCTGGACAGGACCCTGCTGTTCATTTTAAGTATTTTAAAAAGCAAGGTATTTTTTAATTGGAGACTGTGGGTTGTTGTAGTAGAGGTTTCTTCTAAAACCATTAGAATTCTTGAAATACTTTAGAAGCCCTTGTCTTTGCGTGAAATTCTGAGGCCCCTGAGAGAGGGAGGCATCCCAGTACTGGGTCTGGCAGATTTGGAACGTCCCCAGTGCTGGGCTGTGTGCTCTCCCACCAACGCTCATCGTTTCTTGTAACTGCTACAAAAAGCTCCCAGCCCAGCCGGTTTGCGTCCCCACCCCCTTCAGATGACAGTCTGCTCCTCACCTGTGCACGTAGGTGGGTGCGAGCTGTGGGCAAGGAGCATTGCCCTGCGTTGCCCGCATTATTAGGTGCAGACCTGCAATCCCATGGAGCTGATCTGGAATACTTGGTTGAAACATCTTTCCATGTCATGTTATTGTTAATCTAATTAAGAACACTTTGCTTTTTTAAAGCAATTTAGCTTTGATATAGCTGAAGAAGCATCTAAAGTCTGCCTAGCACATCTTTTCACGTACCAGGATTTTGATATGGGAACCCTTGGATTGGCTTATGTTGGTTCTCCCAGAGCAAACAGTCACGGAGGTGTTTGTCCAAAGGGTAAGTTTCCCATTTGCTCTGTGGCTGTGGGAACAGCAGGCTGATTGGCTTATATTGGAATTCTGTACTGAACAAGCAATTTGTCTGTTTTCTCTCCTTTAGCTTATTATAGTCCAATTGGAAAGAAAAATATCTATTTGAATAGTGGTTTGACCAGCACAAAAAATTATGGTAAAACCATTCTTACAAAGGTATGTTCTTTTATTTTTTTAAAGGATAGATGTTTAGTTTATTATAGTTGTTATATATTTATGTAGATATCTTCTAAAAGAGTACTAAATACTAGGTTTTTTGTGTGTGTGGTGTTTTTTTTGTTTTTTTTTTGCCTAAACACTTGTTCTTTGGTGAGAAATCTGAAAATAAAAGGTATAAAGAAGAAAATAAAAATTACTGGTCAAACTTCTTCCAAGACTCACCTGGGCCATTGTTTTCCGTAAGCTGTCCCCGGGGCCCTTCCGCTGCCCTCCTCTCCGGGTGCTGGTTGCTGGCCCTGCATGTGGCTATGGTCTCAGTCACCCGGACTCCCCTTTCCTGGGCCCACACTCTCTTCGTAACTAATATCAGCATTTTGGTATAGACCCTCAGGAGCTCCCCTGCGCTTAAACTGGATCGTTTAGCTCGTGCATTCCCAGTTCCCTCCGATTCTGAAGGCCTGGCTCCATTGTCCTTTAGTGCTTTGTGTTCCTGTTAAAGAGTCTGAAGTCACTCCAGTCTTTTATGCTTTGTATGTGACCTGTCCTTTCCTCTGGAATATTTTAGGATCTTGTGTTTGCCCAGATATATCCATTAGGAATGTGTTAGGCATATTCCAGAAAGCCCACATAACAGAAATCCAGTAAGCAGTGACTTAGACAAGGGGTGTGTTTGCCGCAATCGAGAAGTTCGTGGGCGGCATTCTGAGGTGTTCCCGCGCTCAGATGCTGGGGGCCCAGGGGCTTCCCTCTGTCCGTAAGCCTTTGTCCTCAGGGTCACACGATAGTTCCCTTCGGTGTTGCAGAAAGGAGGACAAAGAGAGCATAGGCTGTCCCTTTTTAAAAACTGGACTGGAGGTCCCACCCACTAGCTTCTGTTTATAGCTCAGCGACAGAGCCGGTCACATGGCTGCCCAGATGCTCAAGGGAACGTGGGAAGGTGGCTGTTTTAGCTGAGGATATTGTCCTCTGAGCAGAGTCAGATCTTTGGGAGCCCATTCCTCAGGGCCCTATTTAAGACAGCGGGGCCCACTGGCCAAAGCCGGTGGTGGTTGGGTATTGGAAAGTAATGTTTTCTTTGCCTGATCTTTAAGGAAGCTGACCTGGTCACCACTCATGAATTGGGGCACAATTTTGGAGCAGAACATGATCCGGATGGTCTCGCGGAATGTGCCCCAAATGAGGACCAGGGAGGAAAGTTCGTGATGTATCCCATAGCTGTGAGCGGGGATCATGAAAACAATAAGGTATGTGTCTCGGAGCGTCTTGACGTGGTTGGGAAAGAAAGAGGCTATTGAGCAATAACCAGAGCTCAGAACGGGTCCGTTCAGGGATGGACTGCAAACTACCAAGTGCCTGGAAACTGGTGGTGTGTTGGGAGTGAAATGTGGCCCATCGCATCTGGGGAACGATGTTGTCGGGCTGTTTGTTACCAAGATGAAGCGTGTGCGTCTGAGCCGTGTGGACACGGAGCAGTCGCTTCGGTTTGTGTTGCAGGTCTGGTGGGCTCAGGCTGTAAGTTAGAGCTTCTCTCGTGTTCATGTACAAGTTGTCAGTCATTCAGACTCTGCAGCTCTTCCCCATGTGCCTGTTTTCATAAACTGTGGCAACAAAACACATAATTTGTCAGACTCGAAGCCTCCTGTGGGAAGGGCCCTGGTCTTTCTGTTCGCAGCTCTGTCTCCAGTGTCTGGTCGGGTAGGTGGCACCTGGTCAGTGTATTGGTACTTGGGGGCTCATGAGAATGTGTAGAGCAGCGGTCGCCAGCCGGTGGTCCGCAGACCCTGGTGGTCTGTGAGGTCCAAAATGTTGGCGACCGCTGGTTTAGATGACAGTTTAGAATTAATATTTTAATAGACTACACCGAGTGGCCAGATTATTATGACCACTTCAATAATGTTTAGTTAGAGAAACTAATACTCCTTAGGCCTGCTCTATACCTCCCAA